TTGTGGCCTCTCCCGTTGCGGAGCACAGGCTCCGGACGCGCAGGCTCAGCGGCCATGGCTCGCCGGCCCAGCCGCTCCGCGGCATGTGGGATCTTCCCGGACCGGGGCATGAACCCGCGTCCCCTGCATCGGCAGGCGGACTCTCAACCACTGCGCCACCAGGGAAGCCCCGTTGGTGTTCTTTAGCTTGGCTCGCCTTTCCTGTCACATGGTGTTCTCCCAGTGTCTTTGTCTTTACACTGCTTTCTTCTTACAAAGACATCAGTCATGTTGGCTTAGGGGCCCACCCTACTCCAGTCTGACCTCATCTTAACTAATTACATCAATCTTAACTAATTACAGCAATTGCAATGATGCTATTTCCATATAAGGTCACTTTCTGAGGTACTGGGGGTTAGGACTTGAACATATCGTTTTTTGAGGGACACAGTTCAGTCTATAACACCTGCCCACACCTTTGCAAATGTCCTTTTCATTAGATTCTTTCTGATCTCCCTTTTGACAGTGCCCTCTGTCCCCTGCTGGACTCTGCTTGATACACCCAGTATCAGGGGCATGTGTAGGGAAAGAACATTCTATATAAGAAATGAGAATGTATTAAAAAAAAAAAGCCCTGAGGCAGGAGGAAGTGCTGTAGGCTTAAAGCTGCATTTACATCAAAAGAACAGTTAGCAGGGCTCAAATAAGCCTGTCTTCTTAGATAATTATTGTTGAATTCTCCCAAATTATTCAGGAAGTCATTCTGAAAAATTCCAAGACTGTGCTTACGTTTATGACTGTGATTTCTATCTGCCACAGGTTAGAGGTAATTTTAAGAGTTTTTGGCTAATGAACAAAAACAACCTCCCTCTAGGCCTGACGAGGAGAGAGTCCATATGAACAATAAATCAAAGCAGAGGTGGAAGACAGTAGTGGGGATGGAGCAGGTGATGATTTGGTTTGGTGGTTGCTGGGGCAGGTTGTGGCTAGGAGACGTGCTCTACTGGTCAGGGAGAGTCGGGACCTGCTGCAGAAGCTTGGCCCAGGCCTGTGGCAGGAGCAAGATGGAACTCGAACACAAGCATAGCCTATGTGGGGTGCCCAGGTGGAAGGTAGAAAAGTGTTCCTGGGCCCTGCCCTTGGACTCCCTCTTTCTTAGGCTCTGCGCAGATTGTGTTCCCTGTGCCCATTCTTTCTGTGTCCAGGTCAGCAATTAGGCCACAGCTTCCCAGGTCCTGGGAGATGTCTGTCCCTTCATGTGACTTCTGGGGAGAGTTAATGTTTCTTTACAGTCGCTGAGGGATAAATGAAATTATATTTGCGAACACTTGGCTCATTGCTTGGCCATTTGTTAGTTTCCTTCTTTTTTGACATCGTTACATAAAAATCAGGACACCTGAGACTTGGACAGTTAGTAGGAGAGACGAGAGTGCTTTGGAGGGGGCTTTATCCATCCTTTTCCATAATCCCTGTCAGCCTCCCATTCTTTGACATTTTTCCTAATTTTATGTGCTATGAAAATACTGCCTCAAGGCAAGTCCCTGAGGCATCTTTCAACCAGATTGCAGCCCCTTAGCCCCTCCTTTGTAGAAATTCTGGAGTTGCCTTTGTATGCTTTATGATGTGTAAGTGCAGCCTCACAATTGTTGTTTGGTCTGTCTTTATCTCCTGTGTAATCCCCTCAAAGCACCCGTTGAACCCATAAAGGTCCTCAAAAATGCTGATTGAAGTGAAATGATTTCTTCTGCCCAAGAAGACTTGAAAGTGAGTTGCTGTCTACAACACCCCAGGAGCAGAGGAAGACATTAAGGACCTCATTCCCAAGATCATGGCCATAGGAAGGACCCCATGTCTTTGGGTTGTGGCTCTAAAGATGGGCCATATCGTTACAGAAACTTCTGCTCCCTTCAGCCTTACCAGACAGAAGAGGGTTAAGAAAGGCACTGCTGACCTCAATACACAAGCTGCCACGAGCACTTCTTGCTTTTCCATTAGTGTACAGTTGCTAGAGATGGCTGTGAGGCTGAGGTAGTTAATATTTCATTTTCAGAGCCAGGGTGCTGCCTGGGGAGTCCCAGGAAAATCAACATAGATTACATAGCAATGGAGGAAGATGTGTTTATTGGCCTCACTGAGAACAGAAGGAAGAATGAAAGATTTGAAGGGAGAAGGGACCTTTGCAAGCCTTCTCATCCACGTTTCAGCCTTCACTTCCCCATGACCTCAAGCAGAGAGCGGCTTTTCCTGTTCTTCAAGTGAGTTCTTTGAACTCATATGCCATTTCTTTGAATTTGCACAGCCTGTTGAGCTCGAGCAGCTGGGCAACCCCACCTCTGCTCAGACAACCCTCAGATAGAACGCCACCTACACACTGGGCTGGAAAGGGTCCTGGAACCCGGGAGTCCTTGTTTTTCACTGCCTGCTCTAGTCTCAAGGGGCAGCTGTGCTGTAGTGGAGAGACCACTGGATTTAGGCTTGGAAGATCTGGGTGTGTACGTGACACCACCACTTACTTGCAAGTCACTTAACCTCTCTAAGCCTCCATTTTCTAGACAATAAAATGGGGATAATACTGCCTTGTGCGGTCTTAAAATAATGGATGTGGATACACCTTGTGACTAATCTCCAGGGAGACCTGCACTTGGGGTCAGCTCACCAGTGTGGAAGGTGGGAGGAAAGGGCAGGCTTTGCTGCGACCTATGTGGACCCAGAGGAGTTGCACCATGGGGAAGGCAGCGAGTAGTAAGTCCCTTCTCTCTCACTGTAGTTTCAAGAATCTCCAGGGAGAATTGGCCTCTACAAGTAAAGTTGTTCTGGAGACCAGGGCCGTAGAAGTCTTCTCGTTGGTTTATAAAGTTCAGGGAACCATCTTGGTCCCTCTGACACCTGTGTATCATGTAATTATTCATTTCCCTGTCCCTGTCATTTGGCACTGCAAAATCTTGCTTCTTCTAAAAGGAACAAACATCTCTTTTTGCTCCAACAAGACATCTGGCTTGATTCCTGAAAAATAAAATCAAGGGAAAAGGAAGAGAGAGGAGCCCTATCAGAGCATCAAGGGACTGAGCTACCAGGGTGTGGTTACAGAGCCACCTTCCATTTCCATCTTCCCACCATCTCTCCCAGGAGTCATTTCATCAGGGAAGTCATTTATTCATTCACCCAATTATTGGGCAAACATCCACTGGCTTCTATGGTGGACTCAGTGCGAGGCTGGGCTCCATGGAGGTGACAATGTTTTGGGCTCTCCGGGGCTCACCTGGCCCAGGAAGAAGTGCAGGGCCTGCGGTTCTGAGGCTCCAAGGCTGTTCTTACCTGTGCAGCCTAGTGGCAGGAGATGTGGTACGTGGCTTCCCCTGAAGATTGAAGGGTCTGCTTCCGGGACTGTCTCCTGGCCCTTTCTTCCTCGTCTCAGCCCTTAGTGTCTCAGCGACTCGCCTGTGTGCTCTTGGGCTTGCCTGCGGACAGCGAGGAAATGAGCCTGAATCAGCAGATGTTCTGCCGCCAGAGAACAGCCTCACCGGTAGTACAAACAATCTAGGGACTTTTTCATTCTGCTGCAAATGGCAGCGTCTCCCTTGTAGAGTTGAAACCAAGATTTTGGCAGGGCAGATGTTGCTATTTAGATTCAGACAGCTTTTAATCTTCTTTCCCCCCTAGTTGTGGATGTTCCTTTTATTTTTTGTTGCAATATATTTATTTTGGATCTTTTATTTATATACCAAGGGAGCTGCTTCCTAGGAAGGGAGCTAGACTTTGCCAAATTGCCCATCTTCCACAGGACCTGAGCCCATAACAGTTGCACAGAATTTAACAGAAAATATGATTGCACTGGATATAATTTTTAGTAACAGTTAAGTGCCTCCTGTAGTACTCTGCCCATATCAAGAGCCCTGTAAGTGTTGACGCTGTAATAGAGAAACACAGCACAAAATAAGCATAATGGGGGGATGGGGTAAGTGGAGTGGGCAATGAAAATTAAATGAGAAAAAGCAAAGTTAAAGCATGAAAAAAGGTTTAATGGGATATTGTAGAATTATCTACTGAAAGGACAAAGTAGAACAAACTAAAAATAAAAAGGAAATATAACAGCTTAGATAAGAGGACTGTGGAAGCAGAGAAAAGCTGGAAGGTAATTAGGACAATCACCTCGATGCAGTGGGTCTCAGTCTTGGCCTCACATTGGGATCCCCTGGACAGTTTTAAAAAATACTGAAGTCTGGGTGTTACCCACAGAGAGTCTGATTTAATTAGTCTGGGGTGGGGTCCAGGCATCTGGATTTAAAAAAACTCCCTAGGTAATTCTGATGTGCAGCTAGGATTGAAAACCGCTGTGTAAGAGCATCATTTAGTAAAACAAAGAATACACCTTATATTGCAGTAAAGTCTTATTATAGTGTTGTCCTCTGGGGACAAGGCAAAACCTGTGGCCAGGTGTCACCTGTGACTGGGATGATCTGCCATCTTATCCTTTTCTCCAGGTCCAGCGTGGACCCTCAATAGCTCTCCTCCTTGGTGATGTTTCACTGCCTGTCTCTTATGAATCAGAGGGCATGAGGACCTGCTGAGGTCAGCTTCAGCCATCTCCCTGTTGCCCTGAGCTCCTACAGCAGTGTGGGGCACTTAGTGGGTGCTTCGTAAATAGTTGCTAAGTGCTATGGTCCTTGTCGTTCTGGGTCCTTCTCTGCCAATTAAAATGAGCTAAGTCTATGGGTCTTGGTTCCTCCTTTTAATCCTGCCCTGACCTTCAAGATCTAAATTATACCCTACTTGGCTCCCTCTTGAGAGAACAGATTCAGCCAGGAGAGTCTTCTTGCTGTGATTCTTTAGGTTGGACAACACGTCGCTGTGTGTATGAAGTGGAATGCAGCCTACAGCACCCCAGATCCACAAGATAATGGGTCCTTGCTGTGTTTCAACTTGTGTTCTCTTTTTCTTCCCTCCCTCCCTCCCTCCTTCCCTCCCTCCCTCCCTCCTTCCCTCCCTCCCTTCCTCCCTTGTTGTTGTCCTGTAATTCCCAGGCTCACAGCAGAGCACAGTCATCTAAGGAGACCTGCCACAAAGAGTGAAAATGTGTGCAGTGCCCTGAAGCGGCCATGTGTTTTTGGAGGAGGTGAATCACCTTCTGTTCTCCTGGAATTATTGATTTCACAGTGAAGTTTTGCTGCCACAGAGCTGTGGGTAGAATGTAAAGTTATTGCCATCTCTGGAACTCCTCTTTGATTTCCCCTGCTTGCTGGAATAACAGTGGGGTTCTGGCAGTCCTCAGGTAGAACATGGAGAGGCCAGAACAGAGCTGTTCATGCTGATAAGAGACTAATCTTATGCCTTTGCTGATAGTAGTCTATTTATAAAAAAACAAACCCCAAATAACTGTAATTTTGTACTTCCATCCAACAATATCCAGTAGAGAGGAAAAAGCTGGGAAGACTTGGATTGGGCCCAGAGGTTATTAGTTTTAAATGAACGGAATAGAAGCTCCTCCCCCTTTGTAATATTTCTCTGCACATAAGAAAAAGCACTCCCTACTCTCCTCCTCTGAAAGGGAGAAAAATATTTTGTTCAAGGTTCTTGGTTGGCAGTAGGGCTGGGGGACAGGCAAGAGAGACAGAGAAGATAAATGCTTTTCTTTTTTCTCCTTTGGTGATGGGAGTTTATGAAAAAGTAGAATGTCCATGCTTCCATGCTTTTAGGGAGCTCAAATTTGTAGCTCTGACATCATATAGCCGTGGAATTAAGATCTTACCTTATACATCTTACATCCTCTAACCTGCCAAGTGTTTCCCAGGGTAGAAAGTGGTGACAGAACTGGGCTCTCCCAGAACTGCAGGGAAATTCCACAGCCACCAACAAAAACTTGTGTCATCCTTGCTTTTTCTGGTTGGCCTTCCAGCCCAGACACAGTTCCAGAGGTATCTCCTATGCCTTGGGCTCTGAACTAACATACCTACTACTTTTGCTTTGTTTTATCACAGGTTGAGGGGAAAAAAGGAGCGAGGCTGAAAACATGCTAAAACATGAGGTCAGCTCTAAAGATATAGAGCTTAAGAAACGATGGAAGAGAAAAAAGGAAGCACTCTAGGGTGCTTTGGTTAAGGCAGCTGTGTAGATAAAAAAAAAAAGTGGCCATGAGGTAGCTTTGGGAGCTGGAAAAAGAGACTTCCGAAACCAATGAAGTGAGAAAGTTAGTATCTGAGTGGATGTTGGTCCTACAGCATCCTGGGCCACCATAACCCAGTGCCCTTGTCATGTCCCAGGAACGTCACTCACTCTGGATCTGCTGCTGCCCCATTGCCATACTCTGTGTATCTCTGATATTCAAATTGGTTACGCGGGGTTTGTGGCGCGTCTTTGGTGGAAAGGGCCAACGACTGGGGTACATAAAATATTATCCATCATATTCACCATGGCTTGAGACCGTATAGTTAGGAGTGGTTGTTCTATGGTCACCATGGTGTTGCTGTTTTAAAGCCTAGTTTAGAGTGCAGGTGCTGTTCTATTCATCAGGGATGCGACAAGTTAAAGGGCCGTTAACACTGAGCTGTGTAATGAACAGTTAGTGTGAGTGAATGAAAAGATTACTGAGTAGAGATACAAGCTATCCAGTTGGGAGGGCTTCAACTGCCGAGTAGTCTGAGAGTTTGCACACATGCATGACTGAGTAGTGACTGTGAACGGGGAAGTTACCAAAGGAGCGTGAAGGAAGTACCATGGGTGGCAAGGTAGCCCCACATGATGAAGAACCTCAGCATCGATCAACTGGAAGTAACATCCTGAGTGAAACTGAGGTCCATGACAGCGCACACAGTATCAATCTAAACTGACGTCAGTGTCCAGTCTGCAGTGAGAAATCAGGGATGCAGGACAACAAAAGATGCAGAAGGAAGGGCACATGCCAAGAAGATGGGCTGGAAGAGCACAGGGAAAGGGGATTTTTGCAAGACTCAGCTGACAATCACCTGTCTGTATCAGAAAACCTTATTTTTAAGCATGCCAGCTCAAGTCCCAATTGGCGACCCAGAGGCTGCAGTGTGCTGGGAGGAGAACTGTTGCCTCTACTCACGATCTGCTGCATTCGCGTTGACTCACAACGTGGTTGGGGACTCAGCTAGACAGCACACTAAATACCCAGCAGAATTCCTAAAAGCACCATTGGCCCAGAGAACCCTTTGTTAATAAATATTATAGCACAATCTGTGTTTATCCAGGGAAGTGTGATAGGGAAGGGAAACTAGCAGGAAAAGAAAATAGAGTTTAAATGCCACGGCAGTTGAAAATATTTATTTTTACGGAAGAGATATAATCCAGACAATTTTCCTCTTGTTTTGAATGACTAAACCCTAAACTTCAAGCACGTGGAGGCCAATGACAATTTTTTTAGGGCAACCAAGATGAGGAAAAGCAGCCTCTGTGTACACACACCAAAGGGCCATGGGGCCCGCGTCCACATTACAATCAGGGCCTCCCTGTGTGGTCATTGTGGCCCCCGACACACTTAGGCAGATCATCAAGTACAAAAAAGCTTTTAGCTTTTCTCTAGACAATCTATAGTTTCCAAGAGGCCTTGGGAGAAGCTTGGAAAGGAACAGGATCAAAATTCAGATGAAGGAGCAGAGGTGCAATTACCACAAGCTATTATTAGAGCAGCTGGCGAAACATCTTTCTGTAAACCAGGGAGTCTTCCTCTTATGCCCTCCTCTTTGGCCCTGAATCTAAATCGAGGAACCAGCATTATGTGGTTGAATCCCTGCTCTGGTTGGGTGGGAGGGTTTCAGGCAAACCCTTGTCCTTTTCTTTTATCTTTTTATTTTAAAGTAGGGAATAGATACAAGTGGGCACTATTGTGAAGAGTAGGTAGGTGGTCCATGGCTCTGACATACCAGCCTTGCCAGCTGTGGTGTGGGAAAGTAGGCAATTAATAAAACCTTTGCGGCAGCTCCTGTGACCACAAGGGATGATATTGCCTCCATTTAGCATGTTTAAATTTAAGTATTCACCTCATGTCAAAGTATGTAGCTGTGTTCTCGCATCTGAGGTTGTTCATTTGGAAATACAGAAGGATGAGGCATTATTTCTTTAAATAAAATATTCATTACCATCTGTGTCTCAGTGATCCCTAAAGCAGAAATTCAATTCACACATTAAATTCAATAATCATATATTAAACACTTACTATGCAACACCCTGTGGAAACTGAAGATGAAACAGACTAAGAATTCCTGCCCTCAAGGGGTTTATAAATTAGGAGGAACATAAAGGAGGTATCCAAACAATCATGTGAAAAGAGAGAAAACATGAAATGACTCAAGAGAGGTAACTGCAGAGAAAAAAATAATTTTTTTTTTAAAAAAAGAGAGAGGTAAGTGCTAACGTGGTTCACTTGGGGATCATATCCTCAGAGGCGAGCTTTGCACTGGAGATATAAATTTGGGAGTCCTGAGCACATATGTGGAATTCAACTCTGTGAGCATGAATGAGATCACCTAGGAGAAGATACAAAAGGGAAAAGGGACCTAGGCAAGGGCCCTGGGTGCTCTATATTTAGAAGCTAGATAGAAGAAGAGCCAGCAAGGGGACTGAGAAGGAGAGGCCAGCGATGTACAGGAAAATTAGTAAAGTATAGCATCATAGAAGCTAAGCATGGAAAAGCATTTCAAGAAGGAATGGGTGGGGCTTCCCTGGTGGCGCAGTGGTTGAGAGTCCACCTGCCGATGTAGGGGACACGGGTTCGTGCCCCAGTCTGGGAATATCCCACATGCCGCGGAGCGGCTGGGCCCGTGAGCCATGGCCGCTGAGCCTGCGCGTCCGCAGCCTGTGGTCCTCAACGGGAGAGGCCACAACAGTGAGAGGCCCGCGAAAAAAAAAAAAAAAAAAAAGAAGAAGGAACGGGTGGCTAGTGGTGCAGTACACTGCTGAGAGGTCGTATAACTGTCGGCTATTTATTCCTGTGTTTGTTTTATGTCTGTCTCCTCTTAAGGAGGGCAGGCCCGCTGTTTATCTTGCTCGCACATGTACTCAGTGTCTGGCGTGGTACTTGGCACAGAGTAGGACTCAAGATATATTTGTTTCATTAAGGAAGGAAGAATTAAAGCCAGTCTGAGGTGTTTGTATTTAATTAAGTAGGCAAAAAATAGTGTCTGAATAGCATCTTCAGATTCCTAACATGGAGTGTGATCTTAGCAAAAATGCAAGCCTCCTTTTGAAGGCCTGTACAGACCCGCTGGCCTCATGCATACCTCCTCTCATCATCATTAGGTGTCTTCCAATCTGGATGCACAAGAACAAGAAAACAGCAAGAATCCATTGGGTGATTCATATACTAAACATGCAACACCCTGTGGAAACTGAAGATGAAACACTAAGAATTCTGCCCACAAGGGGTTTATAAATTAGGAGGAGCATAAAGGAAGTATCCCAGCAACCATGGAAAAAGAATCATAATCCTGAGAGCAGTGTTAGCCGCTAGAATCTCACGAGATATTAATGGTTGTGCCCTTATAGAAAGAAGTCTCTGAACCCAATTCTGGGCTAAGTAGGTATATTTACAGCAGGAGTTCTCAGAGCACGTAATATGCTAATAAAGAATTGTGAATATTAAGAGAGATCTATTAAGGTAGAGCATTTGCCAAACTTATTTGACCATGGAATCCTTTTTAATTGCTTAATAACTGTTAACATTTTAAGAGACAGTGACATTATGAAGAACAATTTGGCAAGTGTCACTTCTGAGTTTTTCTGAGAAGAAAAAAAAATCATATCAAATTCCTTTTTAGTTGACATGGGGAGAAACTCTCCATGTTGGATACAAATTACATGGGTGGAGTCAAAGAGTATGATAGGTTGTATCATTATTATTCTCAAGTATTTGATCCTACCTTTTATATGAGAGGATTATCAATCCCTGCCACTGCTTCATGTCCTGCCAGTGTCTTCTGTGGGAGGGGCATGAGTCCCTTCCCAGCTGATTTTGAGTGTGGTCATGGAAAGGCTTTAGTCAGTGAACATAGGTGGACATGATGTATGCCATGTCTGAGCAGATGCTCTAAGGAGCACTCTGAGTTTCTATCAGCAGCTCTCTTGTTCTTCTTCCTCTGTCATGAGAACAGTGTGTCCCAAATAGTGAGTTATCTTTCAGTCTGGTTTCTGGAATGGGAAGACTCAGAGAGCAGAACTTAGCAGACACCTTGTAGCCATCGACTTGTAGTAAAAGCAGGAGCAAAAAGTAAATGTTCGTTGTTTAAGCTATTGAGATATTGGTGCTGTTTGTTACTGCAGCAGAGTTGACTAATACAAAGAGGGAAATATGGAAGGCTGTTATAAACATGACAGTTTCTTTCCAGAGCTCCCAGAAGAGATACAACCCTGGAGGAGAAGCAGAAAACAGAATGGCTTAGTTTGTAGCTGAATTTTTTACACTTCACAGGAGAAAAGTTGAATTTTTGTTCTGATGAAAAACAACTTCATGAAAGAAGAAAACTACATCAGCTTAGATAAAGATTTGTAGACTTAGTGAAGACTGTAGATGCTGGCATATCCGAGAAGAAATCTCAATATTTCAAGCTGAATGAAATCAAAGGACACACAGAAGTGGAACTTGATAACCAGTCCCACTGGCACTACTTGCCTCCCTGTAGAGCACATTACTTTCTTAATTGTCTCTTCAGATTTCCTCACAGTTCCCATTAACAGGATGGGAAGAGGTCAGTGCCCCACAGCACCAAATTCTGGAAAATCCCAGAGGTTTGGGAGGGATCTTTTTTTTTTTTTTTTTTTTTTTGGTTAGTATGCCGCCCCCTGTCGTTGCCTGGCTCTCCCGTCTCGGTC